TGTTTATTACATTATATTTCAATACTCCGTTTTTCTCACATATCATGTCTCCTCTGCTAAACAGGACCTAAGCTGGAATTGCCCTGCACTAGTCTAGCAATCCATCACTATAAACATCTACCCCAACACTGCACATTACCTAGTTTAATACCGACAGTAAATACAGGTCCCGTATAACCTTTGAATAACATGAAATTATCCATTTGTTGTCAGAGACACGTCTCAATATGAAATAACTAAGTCTGTACTTTATCAAATGTCACTAACTGAGGATTAAGTACCTTTAAAAATAATATCACCCCTTCCTCTCCTGTCCTCTCTTTTTCACATCTTTGTCTCTCTCTGAGTGTCACACATTTCATTATTACTTCTGTACTTTTGTGTGTTTGCAGATATTTGATGAGGTCTTTGAAACTTTATAACCACCACTGGGTCGTACTTCTAACTACAAAAAGAGAAGGCTCTGTGGAAGACTGTGGGAAAATATCTCTAGGACTTGACCTCTGTAAACTCCAAATCCAATGTATTTATATAGCACACATAAAAAAAACTGAAAATTTGCCCAAAGTGCTGCACAAAAACAAAACAAAACAAGAGATAAAACGAAAGATAAAACCTCTCACATTAAAACTCTCACATAAAATAAAACAAAGAGAATAAAAAGAGCATATCAATTCACACCGGTCCAAACGCTAATTAAAAAAAGATGTGTTTTCAAAAGAATTTATAAAAAGGAAGTGAAGAGGCCTGTCTAATAGTTATAGCCTCTGTCAGTGCGCCCCAGGGCAGCTGTGGCTACAATGTAGCTTGCCATCGCCAGTGTGTGAATGTGTGTGTGAATGGGTGAATGACTGAATGTAGTGTAAAGCGCTTTGGGGTCCTATGGACTTGAAAAGCGCTATACAAATGCAGGCCATTTACCATTTACCATTTAAAGGCAGTATGTTCTAGAGTTTGGGTGCCACAATTGAAAAAGCTCATTCTCCTCTAAGTTTCAGCCTCATTTTTGGGAAAACCAAAAGCAGCTGGTCGGCTGATCTAAGGGCCCACGAGGGAATATAAGGCTGAAGTTCATCAGGAAGGTATGGAGGAGCAAGACCATTTAGGCATTTATAGGCCAACGTTAGGACTTTGAAATTAATTCTGTCATTAACAGGAAGCCAATGAATACAGGACAGGATAGGTTAGATATATTCATGCCTGTGTGTGCCAGGTAAGAGACGAGCAGCAGCATTTTGAACAAGCTGAAGACGTGAGAGGGATGCTTGGCTGACTCCAGCATAATGTGCATTGCAGTAGTCGAGCCGAGTTGAGATAAAGGCATGTATTATTTTCTCTAAGTCATACCTTGACAAAGCTGGCTTAAGCTTTGCTATTTTCCTTAACTGGAAAAAGCTTTTTTGCAACACAGAACTGATTTGTTTATTAAATTTAAAACCCGAGTCCATAATGACTCCCAGACTTGTGACATGCTGTTCGATATGTTGTTGGCTTGTATGACCCAAGCCAAGCATAATTAATAAGTGGTTTGCATAATTACCTCTGATTGAAGCTCAAAAGGTTCAGAGCCATCCAAGCCTTGACATCTTCAAGGCAGTTTAAAACGATTGGATGGGGCCTGGATTATTAGGTGCTAAAGGAAGGTAAATTTGGAAGTCGTCAGCAGTGAAGGAATATCTCATGTTTTCAAAGAATAGAGCAGAAAGGGAGCAAGTACAAAAAAACAGAAGAGGACCAAGCATTGACCCTGAGGAACCCCACAAGAAAGGGGGGCTGAGGTGGACAAAACATTTTTAATTTTAACACCGAACGTTCTGTCACTCAAACAGGAACAAAGTCAATCCAGTGCTGCACCTTTAAGCACAAGAATCACAGAGCTTCCAGAATCGTTTGCTATAAGGATGTCATTAAAAACCTGTAAAAGTGCTGTTTCAGTGGAATGTAAATGTTTAAAACCAGACTGAAAAACCTCCATAATGTCATTGGTATTCAAAAATGTATTGGATTGGGTAAAAACTATTTTTTCCAATAACTTTGAAAGGAATGGGAGTTTCGAGATCAGTCTAAAATTTAAGCGGGGAATAAACATGGATGGGTCATATGCAGGAAGTACTATTGCTGACCTGATACACTCAACCTTGTTTACAAAGAAAGAAAGGAACTGATTACATATGTCAGCAGAGGCTTTCAGGGTGGTAGCTTGAGGCACATTTAGAATAGAGCTGATGAGGGATTATGACAATTTCACACAATGATTTGAGAAAAATATTAGTTTTTCTCATTTTTCACTGTATTCTGATAAAATTTCCAACAGTAAGCTGTTGCAGTTTATTGGGTCGGTTGCTCAGTGTCATGTTATATTGACTAAAACTTGTACATTTTGGTCATTCAAGTTTCAGAAAGCATGATTTAGTGTTAGTTCACTGGCTAAAGATGTGTCGAACCAAAGTCTTCAGCCAGGGTGCAGCTCATAAAAAAAAAACCATCTGCATGACAGCATGTTGTAACCAACTGTAGTATCAGATTTAACAGACTACGAAAGGAAAGTAACAGAAAGCTATTCCTGATGATTAATTTTAAACCCTGCTCATGAACTAACTGCAGGGTGTGACAGATAAATTTGCTTTGAAGTGTACTAAGGGATGGCACTGAAACCCACACTGTTTCCATCAGCAGGCAATGGGCGAGCACCGTGCATAGCAGCATTGCTGCCACTGGAGTGAGCACAATTGGAGTGACAGGGTAGTCTCTTCAACAGTGAAAGGTCACTACAATGCCTCTGGGACTGCATTATAGATAGGAGAGCAGCTCTGAGCTTTTTCACACACAAACCATCTGCACATCCAACAGGAAGGGAAAGGGTTTTATTATGTTTTAATTAAGAGTCTCTTTAAAGTTGTTACAGTTAATATATGTTTTTGTAGTGATAGAAAAGTGGACAGCCACACTGTACACTGCTGTTGCTTAATGCGTCTGTGAGTAAACAAGCGAATAAGGCTCATAATAGTGATTTATGAAGGGATGCTCTTGAAGCACACTGGTATATGGAACTTTGCAGGAAATATGGTTTAATCGTAGGTGAGACCAGAATTCATGCTAATGTTATTCAACCATGAAGCGTAACTTTGGTCTTCTTTTGCTGCTGGCTGACACTTCCAATTTTGAAATCTGTGAGATCTATCCTTTCATCACAGACAATGTCTGTCTGTGTATATGCTGTGGGGTGAACAGGGGAATCTGATCTTTGTTTACATCTTTTTGTAGAGTCTGTTTACCTGCTCTTCCATTCCTTGTTGTTTTAGCTGTATCTGGTGGACATGTAAATGGTTTAATGAGTATTAAGCTGAGATTCTCATGTTTCTGTAAATACCATACATGTCTATATTTAAATAACAGGTCTGGCACCTCAGAAAAGTTGAAAAATTGGGCACTTCAGTGTCACATAAAAAAAGAAAGAAAAAAGTTGCAAACCCAACAAACTGTACTACTTACCATTTAGAAATGGAAATGGAAAAGAAATCACTTCAGATCAGCAGACACATAGCCACAGATGTTCTTTTACATAATGAAAAAAAGCTGAAATTTCATGCCAAAGCAAACCCATTGCAGGCTTGGGCACAATATCAGACATATACTATATTTCTCCATCTGCATGCTGGAGAAAAGCACTACATAATTTTAAACCTATAAAGACAGGAACCTGAGATACAGACTGAAATACCTTGCCACTTTAGCATCCCCAGCAATCTTAAAGTAAACAAAAAGCGGGCAAGACATTTCAACTTTAATCTCAAGTCATCACTGACAATGGAACGGGGACATCTAGGTGATGCATACCAATGCACACATTACCAATGTTAGGGTTACAAATGAAGTTGATGCATTTGTGAGATGGGGAGGAGTAGCATTGCAGTCTAGTGCTAGTGAGCTAATACTGTAGGTACTATAGGTCGTCATACCCCCCACCCCGCAGCTTGATTTAAATTGCATGGAGGCGGAGGGAACAGAGGTAGAAAGCGAGGCAAATGTGGAACCACAGGACAAAAAAACCCCATGTGAAAAATACAAAGCTACATAGCTGGTCTGTTTTCAGAAGCCTGATGGTGTCAAAACATTCATGTCCCAAGGTTTGAGTTTATGTGGCCATGAGGTTTGCCACTTGGCTTCAGTGTCTGAGATTTCAATCTGGTGGTATAAGTTTTGCAGGGTCATCCACCTTGAGGTTGACCTGGGTGTTGGTGCTATCTATGGTTGAGGATTTCTGCAGGTTGCAATCATGTTTTGGCCTGCAGAAATCCTCAGAAGTCCCCCACCGGCCCTGGCTCTGAAAGACTTCTGTACCACAGATCGGAGCATGAAGAAATTCCACCTTTCTCTTCCTCCCTCATTTCCTCCCATGTCTGCGCTTGGGTTGGGACTGTGGGTCTCAGGTGCAGCAAAGAGAGGTGCAGGATGCAGATGAAACCAGTGCCTGCAATGAAGACCCGGTGAAGAGTAGGGACTAATGCAGGGGAAGGGGGTGTCGTTAGGGGTAATGGAAGGGGTGCTACCTGGGGTGGATGATGCTGATGTTGTAAGCCTGTCATCTTTAACCTCCTAGGACCCGACGTCCACATATGTGGACATCACATTTTGCGTTATTTAGACCAAATACTCAATTTTGCTCTACAAGAGCCTGATATCCACTTACAAGGACATTATACTGCTAAAATTTAAACGAATATCCTCATATGTGGCTCTAATTTTTCTTAGAAACAAAAAATCAGGTTAAAAAAAAATCTGGTAATTCTTTGTTTTTACATTCATCAGGTCCCAATATGCCCAAATATCAAAGAGAAATTAAAAATGCATGCCGTGGAAGAGTTCGGGTCTTAGGAAGTTCCACTTGGCATTCTCAACTTCTTTTTCATGATATCTTTTCTTTGATGCCTCGGTCCAACAGTTTCTTTCACTTTGTCCATAAATTCCAGTTTAATTGATGATTTTTTTTTTCTTTTTTCATGTCCTTACCGGCACTGCAATTAGAATTATTACCTGAAGACCAAGAAAAATGCCCAACAGCTTTATTTTCTCAAGTAGAAAATTGCAGCTTTTGCTATACTGTCCACTTGATTGTCATATTTTGTTGAACCTTTATTATTTTTTATTTATTTATTTTTCTTTTCATTTTGAGTTATTACAATCAGAATGGACAGAACAGAAATAAAGAGAAATAAATAGAGGTTCCAGGTTCTGGAACACCTTACTCAAGGATGTAGACTGAGTTTGTGACATATATCATATTTAAGAGACGTGCCCCCTGGTCACCGGTTTAGCTCAGTGGGTGAACAGTCGATCACATTCCCCATAGTCACTGTTCCTTGTTTGCTCAAAGGCAAACAGTGCTAATGAGGCTGGGACAAGCAATGGTAGCTTATTTTTCAAATTAAGCTACCTGAGCCAATTCTCCAACAGTTCTCCAACATGAGAGGCGCTGCTACCCCATAAATTCACAGTATTGTTGGACTCTTTTTCTCTACATTTTTAAATTCACTACAGAATGCAGTAATCTTTTAATTTGTTCACTCGGGAACTTCAACTTCTCTGTCAAAGTCAAAGGTGTCGGATGGCACCATAGATCTGTAGCCTGATGTTTGAGAGAAGTTGAGAGTCAGCTGGTTCTCCACATTTGTGCCGATATGAAGATTCGATAACCAACTCAGAACTTTCTCAAAGTTGCCGGTTGATTGTTTGCGCTCTAAGAAAGACTCAGGAATAGAAGGTGCTGGACTGCTTCCTTTAACTGAAAACAAAACACACATTTAGATTTATTTTGTGCTTGATAATACTTTAAATGCTAGGATTGATAATGTAATTGGACTTACAATCAGGGATCAAAAATTCCTTGCTGTTTCCAAGAAAATGTGATAATTTCTCTATATCGTCATCCAGCTTTTTAATTTTTTGGCTGATTTTTGTATCTAGTTTTTCCTCCTTGCCATCTCTCTTCCCCTGACCAGTAGACCTGGTTGTGAGTTTCACCCTGTCACCAACTAATCATAATCATCAAAACATGTTAATAAAAAAAATCATCATTTACAAAATAGGATGAATATAAACATATATATCATCTTCCTCAAAATACTCACCCAGTGACTTGGATTTTGTGCCCGTCGCACCTCCCCTAATGTCATTTTGTAGCTCATGGAGTGTTTCCTTGAACTCTTTCATTAGCTCCAGCTCTCTCCTCCCGTACTCCCGCACTAGTCTTTGCTTCAGCACATGTTTCAGTTGCTTCTGCTTGAACGTCTCTTCGATTCTCAGGTGCATTTCATTCATGTTTGGACAAAAGAGCTTGCCACTGTTTCCTGCTACTATTTCCTCTATCTTCTCAAACAGCTCTGTCACCTGATTCATATCCATTTTTTTCAGATTGTTAATGGCATGGTACCTGTTCTCACACTTCTCAATCACCCAGCGCAGGGCACTATGCTCCCTTTCAATGTGCTCCTCCAAAGATTTATCTGCTAGTTTGTCTCCATATGTGAACAGAACCATTGCGTGTTTCCATACAGTGGCATGAAAAAGGTTCATGTGATTCTCCAGAGTGACTCGTTGATAATCTCTGAATGTCAGGTCCAAAGGAATGACCAGCAGAATAACATGAACTCCTGCTGGGCTCAGTGAAAAACCTCGGGCAATTTCTTTGTCTATCTCATCTGTGCAGCATGAGGAGTCCTGCCACCAGCCCGGGGTGTCAATCACTGTGACTCGTCGGCCCGAAACCTCCCCATCTTGCATTTGACATTGTTCATTCCGACTAGATGCAAAGACTTCTTTATGCAGGAGAGTATTTCCTGTTGCACTCTTTCCAACAGTCTTCTGACCAAGCAGTATTATTCTCAGTTCCTGCAGCTTATTACTGGAAACTGAGAAGAAAACAGCTGTCAGAGCAAAGTGAAATGGGAAAATGTCATGTTGCATATGATCTGAGTGAGAATGCTCTGTCACTGGTAAGATTGTACATTTATATTTTCTTTTTTAAAAAGTTTTATACAGCTCCACATTCTCTTTGGGAACGGATTTCTGCATTTGATAAGATGTAATTACCTGGACATTGACAAGTTATTTGACATGTGACAGACACTATACTGCTATCATTACCGAATAACCAGAAACATTGTATCTATTACAGTCACTGATATCCTCTAGCATTTTCAACAAATTTTGAAGTATATTTCTGTATTTTGTCCATCTCTGCTATCTATTTAATATGAGGGTGTGGAAACAGCTCTGACATTGCGGCACGTTTTTACTTGTGACACTGATGCTAGGTGATAGTGAAGCATACCTCCAAGGGATTCTCGTGTGGCCTTGACTTGACTTTGCCTCAGCATTGCTCCTTCTTTCACCTTCCTTCTTCTCTCTTCGAGGGTCTGAAATATCTGCTGGTCTGGAACAAAGTAGCTCCACCCATTTGCTGCCACAGTCTCAGTGATTTTCTCCAGCAGCTCTGAGATTTGTGTACCATCACTTGCATTCTTATGATCAACTACATGATATCTATTTCCACATTGTTCAACTAGAGACTGTAGGGCCTCCCCCTCTCCTTCGATGTACTGCTCTATGCTGTTTGTTCCCAGCCAGTCTCCCCTGGTAAAAACTATAATAGTGTGTCTCCACACTCCATCACCAAGAAGCTCCACATGTGATGTCACAGCATCTAAGTGTTTGGCATTAAATGATGCATCTGCATCTATCACCAAGAGGAAGACATGGGGCCCAGGAGGGCACAAAAACATGCTGCGCATCAGTTCATCTTTGATCGCTTCAGGAGTGTCGAACACAGGGAAGCCTTTCCACCAGCCTGGTGTGTCAACAAGAATGATTTCAGTTTTAGCCACAAAACCCCGGCAGGCAACAGACTTTGGCGTTCTTTTTCCATCTTCCTGGTCTTTGTACCCCAAGATGGTGTTCCCTACAGAGGTTTTCCCAACATTACGGCTTCCCAGAAGAATCATCTGGAGTTTTGGGATATGTTTCATCTCTTCTGTTATTGGACAAAACAACGATTGGTTAGGCTTGGAGCTTACAGCAGCTTATACTGAGATATAATTATCAAGGCATATGCAGGCCTGTAAAATCATTGAATCGCAACGGGCAATGGAAGTATGTGGTAATAGAATTCATTAACATATTCAACACATTAAAATACTGGACTTTAAAAACTGGAAATGTTTGTTATTGTAATGTTGTTTTAACACAGAATTTTATGCAATTTTCTGAGGTATAATTTATTCTTTTTTTTTTCTAGATGCATGTATTTGTTTGTAAAATGTCCCTTTATTCAGTCTTTCTTTGCATTAAATGTCACTTTTTTCCAGGTTCTCCCTGCACATAATGCTAAAATAAATAGTTTGACATTTTCAGATGCTTAAGTTAGACTGGCATTGCTTTCACGTCTGTATGCTTAACATGCAGTTTTAACAACCTGATTTTGTTTGACTTTTGCAAAATCCACCTAACGTACTACTATATGAACCTTGTTTAATCCAGTCTTTATTTTAATGCACACATCTATCCAGTTGTATTAACAAATACTTTTACAGGACGTTGTGTGGTGGATTATTTCCTGGATGGGCACAGTTATGATTCTGAGAAGTTGTATGTCCCATAAAGTGGCAAATTAGTCCTTTCATCTTGATGTTTGCATTGATTGAATAAATATGGTAACATGATTTGCTGCCATTATGTCATAATATATAATACAGGGGATGTGTTTGAGTGCTCCTTCTGTCACACTCACCTGGAATGAGTGTTTTCATGTGTTGTCTTTGGTCCTCGGCCTTCTTCCTTCTCTCTTCTGCTCTCTCAGCTACCTCCTTTTGCTTCTCTTTGATGACTTGGAAAATGTGCTCTTCTACGTTGTAGTAACTGCCACCATTGTACCACACCATCTCTTCGATCTTTTGCAGCAACTTTGTGACCTGAGATAAGTTAATCTTGTCCTTGTTATTAAATACATGGTACCTATTCAAACACTTTTCTATTAACCACTTGAGTGCCTGTCCTTCACTTTCAATGTGTTCTTCTATTGTCTTTTCCCCGAGGTAATCCCCGCAGGTGAACAGCACCATCGTGTATCGCCAAACCCGTTCACCTAAGAGCTTCATGTGTTCCTCCACACTCGTCTTCTGCTCCACAGAGAAAGCCGAGTCTATTGGAATAACGAGGAGAAAAGCATTTGGTCCAGGCGGACACTTGGATGCATTGAGTTTAAACCTTTGCTTGTCCCCCTCTGGGATCTCAGCAAGGGAGAGGGAGCCGCTCCAACCGGGAGCATCAATCACAGTGAGCTTCCTGCCGTCCACCAATCCATGTCTCACTTCAGACTGAGCTGTTCTTGTTCGGCCACACTCAAATCTCTCCTTTCTCAGAATGGTGTTACCAGATGAACTCTTGCCAGCCCATCTACTCCCTATGAGTATGACCCTGATCTCAGTCTCCTCTGAAAAACAAAGAAAATATTGAAACTTTTTTGTTGCAGATAAAAAGAAATAATATTGTGTTCTTATTAGGATTGTGAAACAACTTATTTGGATTGATGATAATGCAGCTTGTTGTGACCAGATTGGCACAGAAGCTTTAAAATAGAAGGCGGGCTTATCTCCTCAAAATGAGGAGCAGAATAGAATCATTCAGCGTGACATTGCTATCACCACAGTTGTCTCCACTGCTTTAGATGATTGACACAAGAGGAACGTTCTAAGAAATTTGTGCATGGGAGAGTTATTTCTGACCCTTTCATTTCTGTCTGAGGAATAACAAGTCAAAACTAAAATAGTGAAACATTTTTAGAATGACCCTGAACCAAAATAAATAAGTGATCAGAAGCAACAAGAGGAAAAAGAGAAAATATTAATTCAGATAAGAATGCCTCAGTCCCTCTTATTGACAAAGTATTCAGTTGAAACAGCTGAAAAGCGTAGGCTATATGATGCAATGCAGTGCAACACACAAATGATCTTTTCTGGCATCAAATATATAAGCTCAGACGATACTATAGAAGGCAACGAAGAAAACTGCAGTGTCAAAACACGATTAAAAAGTTAACCAAAAGCAGAATTTTGCAGGGCTGTTTTTCTTAGGAAAGTTTTTCTCTCAACTGTATTGACATATACAAAGCTTCTTGGGCGGAGCTCTCATAAGGAGGAATGTTTGTCAAAAGGTTGCTGGGAACTCAAAATGTTCTTTCCTTCCGGGCACAAGGAAATTCTGGCACAACTGGTTTAGTGGCATGTCTCCTGTCTAAAAGCAAATGCCCAGACTGGTGTTTGTCTAACAGGGCTCTCAAACCTACAACTACATGCTCCAATTGCAAACACATGAATTTTGTCTATGACCTCTAGTTATTGAATCCAAATCCAAACAAATACATTTAATAACAATTTAGGAATGTGTTTAACAGATTTCTTTCTTTCACATCATTGCTTCTGACTAACTGGTATTTACAATCTGCAGTGAAAAATTAGAAAACAACAAAAAAGCATTGTGGATAGACTTTATAAGTTGTTTCGCCTTGTGATAAGCCTCAAGTACATTTTGCAGCTCCATGCTGATTCATTTTTATTCAAATTGCTTCAAAAATGTAAACAATATTTCTCAATTAACTTACCAAGATTGGCTTCCATTTTTCCTACTTCTGTTTTAAAAGTGCCTGTGAATGGTCCCAAGCTCTTCACTGAGGTCGAGTGGATAAAGTCTGTATTCAGGCATATTTTAGTACGAGTTCTTGCAGCCTTGACTGCATAAAGTGTGACTGAGAGAGCAAAGTGTTTGTATCTAAATCATCACAGCAGTGCAGAAATCCAGACTAACTGGTTTCAGACAGGTAGTGAGCGGTAAATGTTATGTCAGTTTAGCCACAGTAAAGCTACAGAACTACACTACATCATTCAATAGAAATCATTACATTTGCTTTTTTTTAAAAACAATAAAAAATCTTACTATAGCTTATGCAAATAATGAGTGTAGTGGGTGTTTTAGCACCAAAGGCCACAAATAAAAAATATATTGATTTTTAATTGAAGAAATTAATTTAATCAAATCCAAAGATAAAATGTTTGTCTACATATACAGTATATACATGTATTTCCAGTGATGTACTTTCAAATTACAAAACCATTACATATTCAAGGATGAGTCATCCAATGTGCCGTGCTCCTGTAATTATCCTGACAGACACATAATGATGTTGGGTCTCCACAAAAAAGAGCATCATTCAAATCCAGAGCATTGAGCCTCTAGGGGATTGTGAAATTATAAACCTGACTTTCACTAAGTCAGCTGAAATGGAATAGACTATTATTTGTATGCAGCATAGGCTAAAGAGTGGCCATGATAACTTCATGGTTTCCATTTGTAGTTGTTATCCGTCTTTAAATCATTAAAGTCAGGCATAAGACAATCAAAAATACACGAGTTGTAGAAAACAAAAGGTAATTTGGAATAGAATACAACAAAGAAAATGACACCATCTAAAAGCATTTTAAAGTGAGAGACCTGTAAAATTTAAATTACTGAAATAATAATTCGATACCATATGGTGGACTTATACGACAGATGCTTTTGGCTCTTTATCACTCTCTATTAATATTTATTTGGCACTAAGGAAGTTCTGTTTGTTTGACTGACTGGCAATAGCTAAACAACTGTTCTTACATCATGCTAGCGGCGTTATGTTGACTGAACTACCACAGGGGATCACCTTATGCTGGAGCTTACAGAAAATACTAATCTTGGTGTAAACTCTAAGTGCCGGGGTATATCTGCTTATCCAACAGATTGGACATCTCCATCCACGACAGGTCCCACTGCACTTCCGTCACGTCCTGCTTAGTTGCAGGAACCGGCACTGCTGGCATGTCTTCTTTGGAAAATGGCCAACGTTTCCAAGTACCCAACATCTGGTATCTTAAAAAAAGAAACAAATGATAATACCTGAAGCATTTGACAGCTTGTTTGATTTTTGAGTCATGCTAAGACATCATCTGTCTAACAACATATATACAACTCCTGGGTACTGTAACTTACCTGTGGCGATAAAAAAGCCAGACCGCTAGAGGAATAAGAAACAGAAATACAAGTCCAACAGACAGGATAATCCATTTCCAGTAGCCTGTTGACAAGAACAAATAGTATTTGTTTCAGTGCAAAAAGGCTCAACCAGGTTGTACCTGAAAATACATTACTGTTCCACATCATTTAGTCTGATTTCTCATTAACAGCTGAAGAAACCTGCTAATGGGATGCAAAGTAATGTGATTCACAGGGTGCTTTTTTTCATTGCTCGCATACCTTGAATTACTGTTACATCTACTACAATAATCAGTCAAAAAAAAAAAGGACACAGTTGAATAAGTAGGCAAATTAATACTCGAATTATATTTTTATGGAGTGTTACCAATATAAAAATAGCACTTAACGTTTTGGGTTTTCATTTATGACTTTCTGTGATGCATGTGGAGCACACAACAAAGGTGGGCTCACTTCATTCAGAAATGTGGCTAACCCAATCAATTATGGCAAATAGCACAAACATTACCAGTACTGTTTCTAGCTTATGATTGGGTGAACAGGCTAATGTTGCCCAGTGTTGAGCGAGAAATACAGAGCTCTGAAGCAGACCAACTCTAATCTTAGATAGAGGATGAGATGCCAGCATCTGGCCTCAAACTTGCAATTTTTATACTAATAGTTTGTCTAACCTCTGGCTTATGGTTACTTTCTAATGGTTGTTGCTTCTACTAAGTCATCCTGATACAAAAGGCTAAAACTAGGCTGAAGGGATATCACTAGCATAGGGATATCACAACAAGTAAATTTTAGATATTTTTGCCAGTGTTATTATCATAATTTGCCTCATGGTGAAAACCTTTTATAAGGTTTTTACTATGAAGGAAATTATGCGCAGCCAGGCTTTCTTTGCAATAGCTGGCTTGAGAAAACTTAAAATCCCAGCCAGGCTTACTGGATATCACAATGGTACTTTTAATCCAGCTTGCATTTCACATAAAATATTCTTCTTCTGCTGCACAAAATGATCCATATGAGTGCTACCTACTCCAGTCAGTAACATTATTGGAAGATGACGATGATAAAATGGCAATAAAAATGTATAAAGAACATAAAAAAAGCAGCAGGAAATTATTAATCTTGTAATTTTGCGCACAGAGCAATAAAACAAACATTTTAAGTTGAATTAATTATTTTAATCCTATGTTCATTTCTAACTTGATGGCTGCAATTTAAAGCTCTGAAACTGTAAACATTTAAAGATTAAAGGTTAGTGTTCCATAGCCTCTAAAGGGAGCTGTCGACAAAGGTTGCTAACTGATCTTAATCTCCCTTCGTAGTACACCTCTCTGATGGCTCATTAGGAAATGACAAAGTTGGCCTGGTATCGTCCCAGGTACTTGTCATTTATTTGTAGTGTTTTGGTTCTGAGGAAATCCCAAAGTTTTATTTGACATTATTAGAAACATTCTTATGACTCTATCTCCTGCTCCGACTAGTCACTCAAATAAAGAGTGTAAAAACTTTCTTTGCATCTTTGCTAATAAGAGCCAACATTTCAGAGCAAACATTACCCATCCTTTCTCTCTTCTCGCTGCTTGCCTTAACCGCCCATGCGTCTTTGAGAGCTTTGCACTGGTATCTGTGAATGCTCTCATCAATTTAGTTGATAAAATGAAACCTTCCTGCTGCCCACTTGACATTTTACCAACCCCACTATTATGTAGTGTGTTCTCAGGATAATTAACATCTCATTTAACTCTGCCAGTGTCCCTTCCTATTTTAAACAGGCTATTAGAGACCCTCTTAGAAAGAAAAAAAAGTGACCTTTTCCTCCATCACAATTTTAGACTGTTTTCAAAATTGCCTTTTATTTCCAAGTTTTTTTAGAAAAGATGGTTTCCAGCCAGCTTATGGATGCATAGAGATGCAGGTGAACATTTAGCCCTTGTTCTGTCAGATATCTGTGTTGCCTTTGACACAGTTTATCATGAATCAGTCATGAGTGAGCATCTATGGGTCAGCTCTAGATTTGTTTTCCTCTTATTTGTCTTGAGCTGCTTCAGCTAACATTCTGTCTTCTCTGGCCATTGTGGTGCACCCCAAGGTTTGTGTGTGGAAACTATTTTACTTACCCTGTACATGCTTCCACTAGGACATATCCTGAATGACTCTGAAGATAGTCCATACCATTGTTATGCAGATGATATTCAGTTGTACATATCAAACTCAAACATATAGCCAAATCAATGTTCTAAAAACTTAATGGAATTGAAAACTGTTCTTATTTGTGCCCCTGATAACTTCGTCCCCAGAGTAATTGAGAATCATGGACCCATTTCAGCTTCACTTCTGCCCACAGTGAGAAATCTGAGGACACTTTTGATCAGGCATTCAGTTTTAAAAGGATCTTGGCTGTCTTGTGCAAACGTATTTTTATCATCATTGCCTGTCTCAGATATATTGTCTCTCAGTGTGAATTGAAAATGATCATTCATCTTTTTATTTCAACATGATTCGATTATTGTGATTCATTATTCCTACTCTGAGCAAATCCTTCCTGGATCGCCTGGAAATGGTCCAAAAGGCTGCTGTGAGGCTGAATCCTCTAAAAGCTCTGATCAGAGTCAAATTCTTCTTCTTTATTGTTCAGTTTACAATTTTGGTGATCACTTTTAGACTTCTTAAAGGTCAGATGCCTCCCTTTATTCATGAACTACTGTTTAATAGTTTTATCTTATATTATATTGTACCTGTAAAGCACTTTTGGACTTTTGTTCTTGAAAAAATCTATATAAATAAACTTAATTACTTACTAACTTATTGTGTTTCTATATCAATTTTTTCCTTGTGACTTTGGTGTTTGTGTTATCTCCTTTGTCTTCTTTAACCACTTTTATGACTTTTGGTGACTGCTCTTCCTTGTGTGCATCAAACCCTTAACCTCCTCCTTTGCCTTCCTACTGGTGGCCTGATTGTTCCCACCTGTGTCTTGTTCCCACCTGTGATTGTTCCCACCTTGGAGTCAGCCTTCTGTTTCCCTTTTTTACTTCGCCTGTTCATTCCATGGGTTTTTATTTCTTCTCCCTTCTTATGAAATCACATTTCTACCTTTTGGAGCTTATCTTGGGACTTTTGTTCAGCCAAAAAAAGGCTGTATAGGCTGGATGCTTCTGTTACCTAAAAGGCATTTGAACAAAATGTAAAAATATAAACACAAATCATTACGTTGAGATTATACACCTGACCTGGGGTGTCGCTCTTGGGTCTCACAGATAACCAGCTCTCTGTACTCTCCATCTTTAGGGCCGGGGATGCACACTTGTAGGAACCTTCGTCTTTCTTTGTTACGTTCTCAATAGTCATGTTTATCTCATTGTTTGGACTCCAAGGCATCACAGAGACGACTGCTCCGTTTTTGAAGAAGGTTGTGTCGTTGTAGTTTGTTGTTTTGTACTGACAGTACAAAATTACTTTATCCCCCTCAAATACAGGGAAGGCTGGAGTCTTCATGATGATATTGTCATCTGTGGGATAAAGATAGTACACATAAATAACTCCTTACTTTTTTGTCACACATAAAACAAAAAATGCTCTCCCTCATACGTCACATCTAAAACCCCACCGTGTTATAATTTCTCTCTGGTGTGTTTTCTCCATTTTGTCCAGAGGCAGCAATACTCACAGCTTGCTGAGATCCTGACTGAGTTGCTGCGACCCTCAGGTCCCTCACACCAGTACAGCCCACTGTTCCCAATGGTAGCATTGAAGACACACGCATCAGTCCTGTTTGTGATAACAGCACACTCTAGTGGTGAACATTGGTCACCTTGGACCGCTTTTCTCCTCTGTGTACAGTCTGGAGAGTAATGCCTCAGCTTCCAGCCTTTGGCGTTCGTCTGAGATGAGGGGCAGCGCATACTGAATCTCTCCCCACTAAAG